TTATCGACGAATCGCACAAAACTAATGACAATCATCTGTTGGATCAATTGATCCAACAAAGAGACGCTCTCAGGTATTGATGCGTTTCTTATGATAATTATAAATGAGATAATGATATGAATAAATGGTGTGGTATTTGCAGAGCGCGAACGAAGACATTATTCAACCCACAGTTCGGCAGTATATTCCGGACGCATAACAATCCCACGTATTTCTCTCGCCGTCTGTTCCGCTATTCAGACATTTACATGTCTTTTGTCACCAATTTATGCAACTATTCAATGAATCACATATTCTGTCCGCGAAGAGGACTACTGCCTCACGAGAGCAACATCTCTCAGGTCCACATCCAAGACAATCAATCAAACTTACCATAAGCTCACAAAACTAGCTAACAATTGTAAACTATTAATAGTCCTTGTTATTAGATCTGATGGTTTATATATAGGCTTATAATTAAATGTTATAATTAGACGATTAAACGTTTAAATTGATTAAAATTAACGCAAAACTAAAACTTTGAAACAATTGATTGTAAAACAAATGTCATGTAATATATGAACAGCCCTTTCATAGCAAACAAATGGCGCAAAAATCAGTGAATTTTTTGTGAAGACTTTTAACGATATCTTGAAAACGACAATCACTTCACATATTAGTGGTTAAGAGTGACAGACATTGAGTGATAATGTCTTCGGAAAGCGACAACACGACGAAGTACTTGATCCAGTCATTGATGTGGAGACAGTGCGTGAGTGAAGACAACTTGAAGCGATTGGTGACCAAATGCAAGAGCTCTAGAGGTATTGTCTCATCAGTGTTACCATTGATTGTCATTTCAATTCAAAATCAATTGATTAATGATTTAATGATGGGATCCGATAGGAGAAGAGGCGGCCACTGAAGCGAGCAATGAATTGGTGACCGAAGTGGTGACTCGTGTGAACCGACAGATGAGGGCCTATAATATTTCTGTGAGTCGCGGACCCGCAGAGAGCGACGGCACCATCTATTACGCCCTCATCAACACCGCCGACAACGACATCACAAGAATGGCCAACAGTTGGTCGCAGAAGGAGTTGTTGTATTTTAGGAAATTGATGGCCGCTATCATTGAAAACAAAAACTCTTGCATCGCTTCTACAAAGATGTTGAATATTGGCCGCGAAGAGGACATTAAGTTCTCGCTCCCGGTCTCCGAAACTCTGACCAACAAATGGGTGGAACAGAAGTGGTTCGAAGATATATCCGACGGGAAGGTTGCGATCGGAATCCGGACACTACTCGAGATGAGTGTCTATATCAGAGAGCGCTTCGAAGTGCAGGACTGCTTCCGATGCAAAATCCTGTGCATCCGTGGCTTAAATTGCATGAGTTGTGACACAAAACTGCATTACCACTGCTCTGACGTGCAATTTATACCCGACAACAAGTGTCCCAATTGTGCGAAACAATTCGCGTCGACGACCACTCAAAACACCACTCAAAGTGATAGCGATTCGGTGGCCAATGATAGCACACAAGGGGTCAACGGTTCGGCACACAATCAGCGTATCGATGATAGCACTGATGAAGAGACTGTTGAGGATTTACACGAAACGATTGTTGAGGATTCAGACGAAGAACCCATTCAACGACGAAGAAGTGGTCGATCCAAACGATCCAGACTTTCATAATAAACAAGGATCACACGCGATGCTATGCGTTAACCACAATTCGGGAAATGCATCAAAGATTTTAAATTTTTCAATACGATTGTTAGAATACTTTCATTATTATTATTTTGAGAATTTTGAATGTTTTTTACAACAATTAGTTCTATTTATAAACATGCAATCCCATGTTAAATCCCATAGAGCGGGGGGGGCCGGGGGGGGAGGGGGGGGGCAGAACGATCCTATAAACCACATTATTCATATCTGAATTGTGGTTAAAAATGTTGTAAATGACCGGTTATTTTGGAAAATATTTTAATCTGAATTCATATAAAATTTGAATAAACTTTTTCACAACAAATATATCTCAGAAATTAAAAAACAATTTGAATAACATTTACAAAAGATTATACACTTATTGTTTTATTTAATATATTAACTATTTATTCGTTTGTTCTCTCGCTTTAAGTTTTTCCTCGACGAAAGCCTTAATGCGTTGCTTGAGTTCAATATCTGGAACCACCAAATCCATGGTCAGCGGCGCCCGAGTGAACGGATCCGTTTGGTCACTGAAACACACATCCAATACATATTTCATAATTAATTGAATGCATTAGTAAAGAGCTGTGTGTGTGGTGTATGTCATACCTGAGCAAATGCCGAGCGATGGTCGAGCGGTCAACTCTGACGCCAGAGTTGGGGAGAATGACGGGATCGCTCATTAGGGAACTCATGATAGGATCGGTGAACTCTTCGGGCACGTCATTCATATTGATTTCGCGACTTCTGTGGTGTACTAACAGAATGTCCACACATTTGGCCACTTCTAGCGTCTCAGTGGAGAGACTGACGAAACCAGACTTAATGAGTACGTCTGCGGCCGCGGGGAACAGATCCGCAGAATAGGACCTGTCGTCGGAGCCGACGGCCAAACAGAAGTGCTTGTATTTGGGGTTACTTTCATTGGCGAGGTTCACATATATGGCGCAAATGTCGT